GAGCGCACAGCCCCAGCGCCGCGAGGCCAAGCCCGGGCGTCCCCGGCGGCGCCCGGCCGCGCAGCCCCGCCGCCCCGCCCCGCCGCCCAGCTCGAGAGCGGCGAGCGCCGAGGAGGAGGAGGAGAAGGAGGAGGCGGAGAAGCCGGAGAAGGCGGCGGCCGCTCCAGCCCGCGGGTGCGCGGAGCGCGGGAGGAGGCGGAGCGCGAGGCTGGGTGGCCGCGGCCGTGTGTGCGCGCCGGGCCGGCTAGCTGCGGGGCGGGGGAGCGGCGCCCCAGAGCGCCCCGCCTAGCCTCGCGCGCGCAGCCTCTGCCCTGCTCCGCCACAGACACACACCCACCAAGCACCCACCGCCCTCCGCCCCCGCCGCCGCCGCCGCCGCCGCCGCGCCTCGGGCGGCCCCAGCGAGCGCCAACTCCCCGCTGGCGCGGCTCGCTTTCCGGCCCCTTCCGCGCGGCGAGCTCAGCCCAGCTCGATTTTTCCTTTTCTATCCCAGCCGTCGCTGGTCTGGGCGGCGGTGGCGCCGGCGGCGGGGGGATGGGGGCCCCGCGTGGGGAAGGGGGTGAAGACCGATGAAGATTATTGTTCTTTTTAAGGATGCCTTAGCATCCTCCCGCCGCCTCTCCTCTGCGCCTTCCTACTAGCGACCGTGAACCAGAGTCAGGGATGTAAAGAGAGGGGGAACACACGCCAGGAGCTGCAGCCAGCCGGGGAGACCCTCCTCTCCGTGGAGGGGAGGGGGAGTGCCAGCGACAGATCATTGGCGAAGGGGATCGTCGCAGGGAGAGGAGCCCCGGAGGGAGCGGGGAATCCCACAGCCCTTTGTGGTGCCCGAACCCGTGCCGCCTGCTGAGCGGGGTCTGTGGGAGCTAGGTAAGTGGCGGGGGCATGGTTGCTCCCCGAGGGGTCTTCCTTTGAGAATGAATCATCGCGGCAGCCTAGCCAGACTTGACTTGCTAAAGGAATTGGAAACTGCCAGATGGCGCCGAGTGGACTTACACACAAAGCTGACTTAGCCCTGAGAGGGTTTTTAATGTCAGGCTCTTTCCCAGTGGGGAAGGCACTCAAGTGTTAGCCCCTGAAAAGCTTCCCAGCAGCCTGACTGGGAAAGGATGGGAAATGTTATTTCTAGGAGACGAGCTCTTGTTGCCTTCTGTTCATTTGTTGGTAAATGCCACGCTCACATGCACACACTTGTGGGACTGGATTTAGGGAGTGTGGTGTCTCTGCAGTGTGAACGGTCCTCAGAACGCAGAGACATGTATGCATTTTATTTTTCAAGCGGTGCGCGGTCTCCGTTCTGTAGCACGATTCCGGAGAGGGAGACCAGGTCTCCAAGGGAAGAGCTTCATGGCTGTTTCCAACACACTCTGCTAGGGGACTTGGGAATACATACATTTGTCTAGAATGGCATCAAAAGACATCGACCATTTGCCTCATCTTTTCTCCGGATGCTTGGTGACCCTTTTCAAAATAGTAGGCTGCCATCCATTTTCTCGAGTTATTAGCGTTTATGTATTTTCATTCATAAAAATTGTCAGTGTGCAATAGGTAGAACATGCCATTTATGCAACATTTATGACTGCACAAGTGGTTCAACAGTAAGTCATAATAAATGCAAGATTACATTGAAAAAATGTAATATGCACAGATGTACACTGGGTTAATTTCAGGCTGATTCAACATTCCTGCTAATCATGCAATAATGTCAGTATTTTAAATCTCATATCATGTTTTCACTTTTGCATTGGTTGATTTTTTATTTTGTTGAGAATCTGATTTTTTTAAAGCTAAGGTCAAAGGAAAAGTAAGCATTTTTTTAAATGGGTAGTATTGTGCGGGACAGAGGTGTCTTGGTTTATTTGACAATAACATCAATCAAGATATTATATTTCCTAGGTCAAACGAAAGATAGATTTCAGTCAAAGATCTAGTTTTTAACCTGTCAGTGCTACGTAACTTATAGGAAAGACTTTGTCAAAGAGGATAAACATTTAAAAAATTATATATACATATATATTTTAAAAATTAAGTTTTGCTTTATCTGTTTCACTCATAGGGTCATATGTGTGACAATAAATATAAAGTTGTCCAAAGCTTAACTTTTAATACTTGAAAAAAATCTTTAAACATCTAGACTAGAGTGTTCTTAGATTAACCAAAACTTAAACAATCCAGTAATTTGGCACGTTAGACATGTGCATGTGCATTTAATTGCTGTTTGAGGTGATATTTTTTCTAACTTAGGGAATGGATAAAGTGCTTACTTGTGTGGATAAATAGACTTTCTGAGAATATTAGAGGTCCAGTATAGAAGCAGTTTTTTTTCCCACTAAATGAAAAGTCCCCTAAAAGAGTTAATATGCCGTCACAAAGTAAATACTATATTCCCCCTCCTCTTGCCTTCAGGTTAACACCAATTGTTTACCACAAATAGAATTCTGTCTACACTCTTCTTCCTTTTCTGGAACTACACAGACTTTTGGAGAAAGGAGTGAATCACTTGGCAGTTCTCTTTGCTTTCTTCCACCTTTAACCTTCACCTTTCCCTGTCTGTGTTAGTGTTCCTAAATCCTTCTCATACACAAACCCACAGAGCTGACTCCAGAAAATAACTCTACTGCTTGCCACTTTGAGAGTTTTTATCATCACATCTTCCTTTTTCATTGCCTTTCTTTTCTTTTCCTCCTGTTTTTCTGATTAGAATCAACTCATGCATCCGCTAAAACTATTTCACATTTCATCGCTCTCCAAATCCCATAGTTCAACTTTCCAAGCATCCATGTTTACTGAATATTCAGATAGGATTCGTAGAAATTATCTTATGCAGTCTTTTCTGTTTGGCTTTTTAAACTTCCTTGTTTATGCCATAGGGCAACTGTGAACATCAGCCTGCCCTTTTAATCTTCAGTATGATAATAAAAGTAGGATTGCTAGAAAAATGAAATGGTAGGATGGGGTTTCATCACATTTCTTGGCTTAAAAGCATATCTGTTCAGGATTTTTGTATACCTGCCTGTATGTCTATAAATGTGCATGTCTGTGGATCACCTTCATTACGCATTGAAAAAACATTTTCTCTTGAATGTATATCTAGCATTTTGATATGGTGTTCTAGAGAGACCAATATACATGTGTATGTATATATATTATGAAAGCAGACCAAGTTACTGGTACAATCTACAAAATCTACAAGATTTATTTTATTCTGCCCTAATGCATTTTTTTCCTTGATAAGAAAGTAATTAGTTCCTTGAAATTTGCTGTCCCTTAAAGAATCATTCCTAAGGAATATCCTTAAAGTTTGATAGGAAATCTCATGTACATTTTAAGGCAAATATATAAGGTTAATAATATCTTATTTATTTCAGGATGTAGTCTTTTTTTGAAATTTGCTTATATTCTTCAAGTAGATTCTGCATAAAATCCTGATACCTATTATTTTCACAAGGGCTTCAGAGGAGTGGAGTGTCCAAATGCATTATATGTGATTTTGTTTTTTAAGTACAGAGTATTTTTTAAGGTTAGAGTTTATGGCCTTGTTACTTCTCCAGTGATAAAATAACTTTATGGAGTAGAGCAGTCTTAATTTTTTTAGTTACATTCTACAAGTATTTCATACTCTAGCTCTATAGCCCATTCTGTTTCATTGCTTATTTCCTTCTGTGATACACACGCGCGCGCACACACACACACACACACACACACACACACACACACGTGTGTGTGTTTGTGTGTCAAACTCTCTTGTATCATCTTGAAAAGTGCCTGTTCCTATAGATGGAATTTTACCTACCTTTGCTATCTGATTTAATGTCCAACAACCCTTCACACTCATTTATTAATTCCTTTATTATTCATTAGCTATGTATAAGGAGATGAGTGCTTGACTAGAGTGTGACAAATGCAAAAGATACAGAAGACAGTCCCTAACTCCAAGAATTTTTTTTACAGAATAGAACTTTTAAGAAAAACTTGAATAACTAATTGAAGCATCACATTTATAGTTCTTTCCTACAGAAATGCCTGTAACAATTTTATACTTAATAAATTAAGACAAATTCATAAAGAGGATCATGAAAATTTGTCACAGGCTGTGCAGTGGCAATTGTTAGAAAACAATAATAGTAACAATATATTTTACTAAAATATTTAAATTTAAATTAAATTTGAATACTATCATTATAGGTAATAATAGCTATTTTATTTATATAAATAAAATAGGATTATTTATTTTTACAGCAAACACTTACTTAAGCCAGGTACTATTTTCATCATTTTACAAATATTATTATTTTCATTCTCACAACAACTCTATGGGGTAGCTGTCACTAATATCCCTTGTTATATAGATATGAAATCTATAAACAAAGATTTATTTGAAATTATATCTTTTCACTAAAGGATGCCATGGTTATTACTACATGGGAATACTTGGAAAAAACAAAAAGTAGGAACTTTTTAAAATAGGAGAAAACTCCAAAATTTACAATGTGAATTTGAAATAAGAAGTTAGTTTAGTTAGAGGCTGATTTTTAAAATGTGGGTGGGATTTTATCAGAATGCTGACACATTGGAAAGTATTGTCCTTACAGTGACCACAGAAAGTAAGGCTAGCTGACACAGATTTCTCATTGATCAATTTATAATAATAACTCCTTTTCATTTTCAGTTTTTTAAAATGTGAATATTTTAAATAAAATATAGTATCACAAATGTTTTTAATTTAGTTACTTGTAGAATTATATATTCATATTTTAAAAGAAAACTATTCACTTTGCAATATAATTTTTCCCACGTCACCATTTTTCCTCTGTAAAATGTAACGCCAATATTTTAATAGAAATTGAAATATAGTTACTTAACAAATTTACTTACTAATATATTTTCTAAAATGTATTTATTAAATGGCAAATGATTATAATAAAATCATGAAGCTATACTTCATAAATTGAAATTTTCATCAAGAAACATTTACATAAAATTTAAGAAAAGTTTTTTGTTTTTGTTTTTGTTTTTTTGAGTTGGAGTCGCCCAGACTGGAGAGCAGTGGCCGCTCCCGGCCAGCGCAGCCTCGCCTGCTGGGCTCCGGCGATCCTTCCGCCTCAGCCTTCCGAGTAGCCGGAATTACAGGCATGTGCTACCATGCCCGGCCGATTTTTTTGATTTATTGTAGAGATGAAGTCTTGCTGCCCAGGCAGGTCTGAACCCGCAGGCTCAGGCAATCCACTCACCTCAGCCTCCCAAAGGCGTGGGATTACAGGCTGAGCCACCGAGCCCGGCTAGAAAAGTTTTTTTCTAAATAGATGCTGCTTCTGTTTATGTAAAAAATATCAACTGGATTAAATTTGAGAGGTAAAATGGTTAAATACTACCTGCAGGATGCCATAAAATCAAATATTTAGATATAGCCTCATGATTTATTGACATTTTTATTATTCACACAGATATTAGGTCTCACAGGTTCAGTCACATTTTATAGCCAACTTTCAACCTGCTGTTGGCTCATTATATAAAAGTTTAGTTATTTAGACTTTGTATACATTTCCTCATAAAGACAGTACTTTAAATAGTGTCCTCAGAGCAATCCACCAAAGCCCTTTTGATCAATAGTATGTCCAAAAAACAGTACTGTTTGTACTAAAAAAATCCAACCATAATGTATAGCAATTTTCCTAGGGAATCATTTGATTTAAGTAATATTTATTGATTTACTCTGTGTGAGGCTCTTTTGAGATACAGATGGGAATGCAGTACTGCCTAGGCCCACAAGGAGGAGAGAAAATGGAGAGGGCGTTTGTACACTACTAACTTTGAAGAAAGACAAAATGAAGAAAGCTTTAGAAGATTGGTAAAGACAGAGTGTTAAATAA